ATGTCACTGCGTATGGAAACAGATCAGTTTGCTAAATATATGGCAATTGCGATGGTGAATAAATTAGATGAATGTTGGATCTCACCTCAACCTGGATTGTGGGTAGTATATGCTTCACAGTATATACCTAGCATCTTCACTTGGTAAGAATGATCATATTTCTTCTAACTTAATTAAAACTGATTTCCATTTGTGTTTCCATTTCATATTATAATACTAATTATCTCAAAACCAAGACATTAAATCATACAGAAGGCTGGATGCTGTCCTTTTGTTCACATTTAATATAAATGGATTTAAATTTTTTGGTCAGTAATATGCAGGTAGGAACAATGTTTAATTAGAAAGTGGCCTTTGCCAATGTATATACACCATAGTAAATTGTTAATGTCAGAAGTACTACACTTTTGTTAGACAAGGTAAAGGATGTAGTGGTGTTTCATTTGTTGGTGGGCGCTGCTCTGACACACTGTTTACTAGTGTTTAGAAGGATTGCAATTTACAAACTGTTCAGTTTTAGTGTTAGGGAAACCGCTGTGTTGCAAATGGAAAAGGCCGTAAGCAGCAGAGAGGAAGAGGGGGAAGGAAGCAGAAGCAACTGTCCCACAGAGAAAATATAAATTACTAATATTATAATGTTATTATAAATTAGTATTATTAAACCAAATGGTGCTTATAATCTTGTTTCTGTATCGACCGACCATATATAGGCATACAGCTAACTGATATGGCTTTGAATGTATTCACCTTTCGGTATTTATTTCAGTTTTAGAAATTCATGCTCACTGGTGAAAAAATCTCGTGTACGGCCGTGGGTGTGGTTGCAGCGTTCTTAATCCTCCAGCAATTAAATACAATATTCACAATTTTGTTATTGGAGTCATACCACTTTATTTTGTTGTTAGGTTATATAAAAGATATGGTCTCCGACATATGAAGAAACTGCGCCATAATGAAGGTAATGTTCCCGACATATCGTGGCATGAAAATGTATCCTGATGATCATTTACATAATATTTCAAATACCGTAGAGTTCCAAATATAAGTCCATCCGAATAAAGCCCCGAAATAAGCAGGCTATAGTGACTAACCTTCACGCCATTCCGAATATAACCCCTCCCCCCGAATATAAGCCCCTCCGCGCATAAGCCCATGGGCGTATTATTGGACAACAACTCAGGAAATGACGATTTGAGTATTATAATTATTATGTGCTGTATACTTCATGTTTGTATTTCTTTTCGTTCACGATATAGTTTAAAGGTACAATAAATATTATTACTGACAACAAACGTCGTCTGTATACGAGTACCCCATATATAAGTCCCCCCCCCCGCCCATCCCCAATGTATAAGCCAATCAGAAAATGACGAACGAATATAAACCCTGCATGGCTTACGTCATTTCACTGAAACATTGATTGTACTGAATGACATGGAAAAGAGTTGAATCTTCAAAACAATGCTAATTTTATACCAAGGTGGAGCTAGTCATAGAACGTAGTGGTAAATTTGAGCGACCACTCTGGTCTTAAGATCTTTAAAGCAATGAAATCATGACATGATGTCTCGCTCGTTTTCTTTGGTTCGAACATGAAGGAAGTGGCAAGCTAGCCATATATAACAACAGAATACTACTAAAGTTAATACTTAATCCAAATAAGGTTATTTTCAGGTTTAATATATCGAGATTTTGGGCATCTCGCTCGATATAACTAACAAGTGAATGACTTTTGTTGAATTTCGAGCGGAAGACAAGATTGACAGTTGCGAGAAGTTTTAAAATCTGTTTGGGTTTTAGGGGCTGTTTATATGGAAGCGAGCCAGCCTGGGTACCCGAGCTGGCTCGCATCCCCGAGATGAATTTCACCACGCGTTTACATGAAACTTACGTGAAGGGCTGGCTCTTTTTTTTCTAATTGTTTTGGCATAAACAACTCCATATATGGAAGTTGGTTCCTTATATGGGAGTTGTTTGTGCATTCTGAATTATTCTAATTATTTGCGCATGCGTATTTGCTAAATTTCCAGCCCGTCTAGAAGGGATAGCCCTCCCTGTTGCGTTTATATGGAAAACTACCCAGCCCGTTTACCGGAGGTCTCGGGTCACACAAAGCGGGACCTCGGTTAGGCGGGCCAGCTCGGTTCTCATATAAACGCAACATGAAATTTAGTAGGAAATATTGACAAAGACGGGATCCCGCGTAAAGCGAGTTAGCTCGGGTACCCGAGCTGGCTCGCCTCATATAAACAGCCCCTTAGTTGCGGCACGACATTTCAGACAATTTGCTTTAGTTTAGCCTTTAACTATTCACGCAAACTTACATTTTCCCCTAAAAAAATCAGCCTTTGCATGCTTAATACATTTGCCTAATTTGCATATGTCAGCAATATGCAAATTAGGTAAA